GACACCTATCACCCATGAGAAAAAAAATTAGTGCAATGACTTTTGCTTGAAGGAAGAGCAGAGTACCAGGAGAATGGAGCTATCTCCTAAAAGAAATATCTGAAGGTGTATATTTATTTATCAGCAAAATGATAAGCAGTGGGGATTATTATTTTGGAGATGTCTGAGGTACTGTCCACTAAGGACAAGTCCTGTCATTGGTGGGAATGACCAAAGAAGGCCCTGAATGCCACATGTCCTTTGTATGGCATCAGGGATTTAAGAGAGTCCCCGAACTTATGTCTATGAACCCACAATGAGAATGAAGACAGTATAACTTTGTGATGGGTCCAGCTATGGTTACTGCTGCACTGTGAACAAACAAGACCCTCTGAATGTGACACGTTTCATATTGAATCTTGTTGACCCTCTTTCCCTCTTCTGTAGTTCCTTTTAGGCTGCCATTGGTTTGGGGTTAACAACAAATAAATAAAATGGTTTCTATTTTCCATTTTGGTTCTCTGAGAACAAATAGAGACCACCTATCAGTTACAAAGGCAAAAGCAACTTGCAAGCCACTGAAACCATTTTTAATTCCATTCTTTCCTTTGGGACTCCACTATTGAGGGGGCAGGAAAAGGTTTGTTATTTCCGTCTTATAGGACTGGAATTGAGATTCAGAGAGGAAATGTTCTGCCAAATGTGGCACACCTAAGATCGAATCTCAGGTCTGCCCGTCTCCAGATCTCAGTGTTTCATCTGCTTTTCACCTCAACCTGAACTCATCCCTATGGTCTCGATATAAATAACCCTGAAAGTCAAGCTCTAATGTTCCAAGTATCCAAGTCCACTTAAGGTTCCTCAGGACACTCCAGGTTCATTAACTTTGACGAACCTTTGGCTTTGATGCCATAGCAATGAAATGAAGTAAGAAAGGCAACAGCCTTATGATGAAGAGGAGAGAGGAACATGCCCTCCCATATGCAGTGGTTTACTCTCCCCCAGGATTCATTTTCTTTGAAAACAATGACTGTGCCCCAGAAAATATAGTGAAAACTTCAAACTCACAATCTTAATTTGGGATCTTGATTTGGCAATCACACTGATTATTGGAAACAGGAAATTCTCTTGGGGGAAAAATCAGGGACTGTGTTGGTGAGTTCCCAAATGTAAAAGCTCTGTTCTCACCCTCTGAGCAGAGTGCCCTTGTGAGCATGATGAAACCTTGGTCAGGTTCAGTGACACGGCCGTCCCTGTGTGTGGGAGCACCTCAGAAAAAGCCTGCTCAGATCACAGAGAGAGTGCTCTGGGTTTGACTTTGAGACTTTTTCGTTGGAGAAACTGGTACCCCATGAGTCTGCTTCGGCTACAAACAGAGCACCACAGGCTGGGTAACATAAACAATAAAAATGAATTCCACACAGCTCTATAGGAAAGACATTCAAGAACCAGGCATTGGCAAAGCGGGCTGCTTCTGAAACCTCTCTTTGGTTTGTAGCTCATTGCAGTTCATCTTTTCATGGTCTTTCCTCTGTGCAAGGCTGTGTCCTCAATTCTCTCTTTATAAGGACTGCAATAATAAGATTGGTTGAATCCATACCTGTCCTGCCTTCTCATTTTAACCTAATCATTTCTTCAAAGATTCTGTTGACAAACACAGTGTCATTCTGAGCTCCCGGAGGTAAAGGACTATAGCATATAAACTTGGGGATGTGGGGTGGCAAGGAGACAGGGACACAATGAAGCCTATTATACCTATGAACAAACTAAAATAACTATTCAGAGAAATTTATTTTCTAAGAGTCTCCAAAACAAAACAGAAACAAGAACAAAAACTTAAAAAGCAAAGGAAAAAAGTCCTTCTTTCATCATTGCATTAATGAAAGTATTTTAGTATCTCATTTGGAAATGAAATGCTTTTCTTTCCATGTTTGCCTCCACTAAGCATGGCCAGCATTCTGTTTTCTATTGCTGTTTAACTGTGTCTTTCCAAATCGCTCATAAGATCCCAGAAGAGAACAGGACTATTGTTCAGTCGTTACTACTGGTCTATGCTACAGGGCCACCCTCAAGAAGAGGGTCTTCTAATATAACACAGCCAGCTTCTAATAGAACTCACTTAAGCAAACATTTCCTAAAGTTTGTCCAGGGCAGGCTCTGGACTAGCCCCCTGGTCTGGCGATCACTGAAGATCAGTGGCTGTGATTTCAAGAACTAAAGCTTGCAATTGGATCAAACGAGGCTGGAGTGTGTTCAGATCTCCCTTCAGCAGCTGTGTGGCAGGATCGTGGCCTGGGGATCCCTCAGAGAGGCAGGGCTGAATGCTGTGGAGGGAATTCATACCTGTCCTGCCTTCCCTTTTGAGGGGATGCTGGAAAAATCTCCTTTTTTTGGTACCTCAGCTTGAAACATCTTTCAGCGCAGACCTGATGAAGGAGTTCCTTTATATTTGGACACAATGGTTTCTCACGTTAGGGGTCTGTAACTCCTGGCCTGGCATAAGGACCCCTGTCCTTATGCAGCTCTTCCCCACTTTCATCAGAATTAGGTCTGAAGCAGCCAGGTGACTCTCCTGGAGCCAGAAATGGGTCAGGCTGGCAACAGCATACCTATCAGACTGACCACACAGACAGGGCAGCAGAGGGCACAGAGGGTTTTGCTAACGCTGGTGGATTCTGTGCTGTCTCAGAAGCCACACTGAGACACAGGAATGATGGGAAAAGATCTTTCACTCTGGCTCAACATTTGCACTTTTCATCAGCTTGAAAAGGTTTTTCTTCTTGTCAGCCCCTCTCCTGGGCCTTATTACATAACCCCCATCTTTTTGCAGTGCTTCTCGCTTCTAGCCTATCAGATACAACTGTCCTTTGATTCCCCCTGGGTATGCAACCTATTCTGTCCTTGGACAATTCTGGAAGGAGAAACATTTTTGTGGCCTTTTTAACTATTTGAGAGAAGAGCATAGAGCGAGTTTAAATACGGTTGTTTAGAAGCTGCCAAGATTGGGGGCTTTATCCTAAGAGTCACGCTTTTCCTTCTGGGAACAAACATCTGCTCTGTGGTTCTGGAGGGGTTACATATAACACCGAGGTATGTTTCATGTTTACATGATTTCCCCATCCTGTGGCTGGTACCTTTTCAGTGCTGAATAGTTTAGTAGATAAATGAAATGGCTCACTTTCCACATTGCCTACTTCTTCAAAGGCAAAACCGTTTTCATTTGGAGAAGATGAAAAAAGGAGCATGGTACACAGAGCTCTCTTAAACACAGAGTGACAGCTCACATGCCCTTTGGTGATAGGAAAGTGGCTTTGCCAAATCTCATTTGTCTGTACTTTCCTCGGGGCCGAGAATGAAGAGGGTTTTGAGGCTAAGCTTCTGGGTGACAAAAAAGTAGAAGATGTGACTTTGAAAATGACGGAGAATGGTCTAACAGGCTAGGAAAATGTGTCCCATTGCATTTCTCTGCAAACACACTTTATGCAGATTGAATAATAAATATATTTTCCAGAACTTCTAAATTAAAGATATCTATATGCTAGTGAGTTATTGTCCACTATCCTTAGGAATGTCACACTAATTTCTTCAAAGCTTAAATATATGACACTGATGGTATAGTAACTTTCAACGCAAATTTAAAAAGATTGTTTTCTATCAACCAGTGCGGTCCTCGGGTGCTCAATCTTGGCTTAATGTGCGTTCCTGTCACTCATTAGTGGCCATGGAGGAAGGCCCATATGGATTTTAATAAAGCTCGAAACACCTGAAAATGTATCATCCTTTGACACAATCTCTCTCTAGCGAAGCAATTGTTTTCCCACCCACCTTGAATCTTTGCCACTGGATATAACCTTCAGCCCAAGTCCTGTGCGCATGGCTGCCCTGCTTTCCTTTATATAAGACTTGATTGTCTTGATGTGTAGCCCTAGAAAACATTTATCTTATTCGTGTTTAATTTAGAAGATTTTGGGATTCACATTTTGCACTTAAAATTGTAATGTTGTAGCAGTTCAATTGTTTGAACTGCTGTGTGAATTCTCCGTAGTTATTTTCCATTCTCCCTTGGATGGGCATTTGGGTGGATTCCCAGCTTTGCTATTTGCGAGCTGCCTAGCTCTGGGCATTGTGATACATGTTGCTTCTTGTCGAGGTGTAAAGATGGAATTTTGGGAGCACAGCTAGAAGAAATAGTCAACTTTAGCAGATAATGACAATATGGAATATTTTATGGAATCATCACTCACACACAGAAATACATGTGGATGATCCCTGTTGTCAGTATGAGCTATGTGACATATGCTACCCTGAGAAAACATTTTTTTTCTCTTTGATGTTGCAGTCAGAAATATTAAAAAGAAAACTAGTGTCTTTCTTCTTCTAACCTAAGATTATATAAGCACACACAAAATGGAAAGTTTTAGATTATACCAAATTTAGCAGCAATACCGCTGATAAAGGAAGACAAACTGAAAGAATACACGGCAGTAGAAATTGTACCTCGAAAGGAACAGTTTTATCTAATGTCCAGGGAAAGATCAGGTTCTACACAGTACACGTGCTGAATTGAGCATCCATGTTATAGATTTCAGACCCCCAAGTTCACCAGATCTCTCTACCTGCTTCTAATTATGCTGTCATGGAAAATCAGAGTTTTCTCTTCATCTGCAAATAAGAGGCTCTTTCTTGGTAAAAAAAAAAGACCATATATGTATATATATGTGTATATATATATATATATATATATATATATATATATATACTTTAATCTGTGTAAGTAAAGAAACATTCCCAATAGTGACATCATTAGCTGTTTGTGGTAATCATCAGTAAACACTTATTTTTACTGTTCTCTAAACTAATTCAATGTTTGACTTGGACAATTGCTATTTCTGTTCAGAAACTGCTTGACATCTCTGTGCAACAAAATACATCGCCTTGCATTATAATTTCATATGAAACTGTATTTCCTAAAGATGATGTATTCTAATCTGAAGAAAAAAAGACAATGAAAAGCAGCTTACCTTCACGTAGAGCTGCTGAAATTCCTCTAGATTCAGTCTCCCACTTGGGCAGTCCTTGAGAAATCCTTTGTACCACTGCTTGAGTTCATGCTCATTGAACTCTGTGCTCTTTACCAGGTCCTCCATCACTTCTGGGGCCAGTTTGCTATTCTGTTTCCCCATTCTGTCTAAAGAAAAACAAATCAGCACAATTAGTGCCTGAGCCGTGATCTTTTCAAACTTGATTAGCAGCCAAACTTGTGTTCCAGCAGTCCCTTGGTGGGAGGGAATCCCTACAATGTCTGATCAAAGTCTACTCGAGTAAGCTTCCTTCTAAAAAAGAGTAGAGCAAAAAAAGACTCGCAGTTCAAAAGGTTGTGGAACTCATCCTCCTCCATCATCTATCATGTTTTGCATGACATTAAATCCCAGATGGAAAGACGACTGTCCATTTTTGAGCTCTTCATATTAAATACATGGAAGCTATTTATATTCTTTGTATATCATTTGCAATTCATTAATACTTGCTACAGGGATGACTGAGTCAACATTAGTTTGCAAAATTGTTATTAGTTTTGTTTTTAGGCCAGACCCGTCTTTGTTCAGGGCTTACTCCTGACTACACTTAGGGATCACTCCTGGTGGTACTTGGAGGATGATGTGGAGGTGATAAGAATTAAAACCAGGTCTGCTGTGTGCAAGGCAAACGCCTCACCCTCTGCTATCTCTCCAGTCCAGTTTTCAGAATTATTAACAAGAATAAGAAGGTTTTATAGTCAGATGATTAAAAAGTGACTTGAGAGGCTGGAGCAATAGCATAGCAGGTAGGGCGTTTGCCTTGCACGCGGCAGACCCAGGTTCGATTCCCAGCATCCCATATAGTCCCCCAAGCACTGCCAGAAGAGATTTCTGAGCGCATGAACCGGAGTAACTCCTGTGCATCGCTGGGTGTAACCCAAAAAAGCAAAAAAAAAAAGTGACTTGACAATTTTGATGAACAATGGTAAAGAGTATCAGTTAATCTAGTTCTACAAGTTGCACCTTTTATTCCCCCCACAAGTGAAAATAGCTAATTTTTATTATTCACATCTTCAGAGATATACTCCAACATTGTCACCAGAGTTATTGGTTTCAGAGTCAGAACATTCTTGATGGATTTTTGTGAGGTAATGATTGATGAATTTTTGTTGACCTAACTCCATTTGTAATTATTATGATGATGAAGTCAAATAGTAGAGTGAACAATAAATGTTACCTGTATCATACCCATTTTTGGGCTAGATTACAGAGCCAATGTCATATCAGGGAATAGGTAGACTATCAAAGTTTTGGGATCATCCTGATTTGTTTTTGTTGTTGTTGCTTTTTGAGTCACACCCAGCAATGCTTAGGGGTTACTCCTGGCTCTGCATTCAGGAATTAGTCCTGACAGTGCTTGGGGGACCGTATGGAATGCAGAGGATTAAACCCGGGTCAGCCACTTACAAACCAAATGCCCTATCCACTGTACAATCTCTCTGACTCCTCATCCTGATTTTTATTACTGATTCAGTCATTTATTGATTCAGTCATGTATTCTGTATGACATAGGTCAAAATCAATTACGCTATCTTGATTCTTCCTTAATGAAGTGTGCGTTAATAACAACATTTCAGATTTACTGTGATGACTTCTTAAAATATGTAAATAAAGATAAATACGCCATAATATTAATGCAAGAGAATTATGTGTTATTTTTTAAATTTCTGTAATGTTTTATACTAAAGAAAGAGAAAAGAGGCCAATTTTGAAAAGTCAAATTAGACTTGAAAATCTGAGGGATCATTAGAGTGTCACAAGATGCTTAAAATCCTGTTAGAAGAAGCTGTAGCTGAGTTTGATTTTTGAAGAATTTACTCCACTGTTCTTGAAACAAATTTTCTCCCAGGCAGGTCTACACTTGCAATAGCATAGAAGAGATCATCTCATCACACACTTTTTTTAAAAACCTTTTTTAAAAAACAGATTCCACACCCAGTCAGTAACTTGCCCCAACATTGAACAGTTTTTCACTGTAATGAAACTAACCCACTCCTGCTTCTTCAGAGAACACTTCCTCTTTGGCACTATCCCAGTTGCACACAGATGGGCAAAGATACTACAAACATAGCCTTTTGTCTTCCAAGCTCTTCTGCTGGTGAAAAGGACCAGAGGATCAGAAACTGTGCCTTTGATCATGGAGTTTCTCTAATTATTTTTGCTTTTAATTTTAAATTCCAAGACTTATTAGTTTTGCGTCTCTTACTTGTAAATTACTGTGGGATTCCACAGCTGAATATGGAAATCAAGTGGTACTCAGGTGTCAGATTTAATCGATCTGGATAAAAAAACTGTAATTCACAGTTATCCTGATAAACAGAGCTATAGTTATCAAACGTTTTTTGTATCAATTTCACTTTTGGTAGAAAATGACAAATTTTTATTACAGAATCTTACTTATCACTAACAGCTACTGATTAATCAGTGATAGCTGTGAAGTGTATTGAGCACTTTACAAACTTGATCCCTAACCCTAGAATAACTCAGAATGAAGATTAGACACATTTTTTCTCTCTTCCTCTCCCTCACTCTCTTTCTCGCTCCCTCTCTTTCTCTCAGAGTGATGTGCATCTGGCTGTGTGGGCCTGATGGTTTAGTGATCAAGCTTGGAAGTACAAGGGGGTATCCAAGACCACACTCAGTGGTACTCGGGAGATGATCAAACTCAGGTCCTTGCAAATGCCCTGCCAATTGGTCAAGAGATGCATAGTAGAGATAAATTTGAACTGGCTCTCTAAGACATCAATTTACAATCACAGAGAATTCAACAGAAGGTATTTTAGGAGCAAGAACAGGAGTAAATCCAGAAGGTTTAGAGGCTGAATCAGTGTTTCTCAGTACTGAAAGAAAGGCTAAGAGGGGCCAGTCATTTTGCAGACCTATTTGGGAAAGACTGTTAGATTTACCCAAACAAGAAGTTCAAAAGTGAGTTGATATTAAGAATGGGAAAATAGATTGAGTCATTAACTACACCCACTCCCCCGAATCCCTACTGCCTGTAGAATGTCAACAATGGGTCAAATTCTCTTCAATGTATCAGCAAGGTATCTTGGAAGCCCCAAGCATCATCTAAGATACTTTACATTCTTCCATCTGCCTGGGAGAGGGTGGTCTCTTAGACCCAGAGGGAACATTATCAGCACCATGAATCAGAGTTTCAGTTTCACAGATTCAAATACAGGACTTCATGCTTCATGGTTCAGCTCCACCACTCAGGTGTGCCTGGAAATGGGTGAATCACATAGAAAATCAAGTCCTGATGTGACATGACTCAGATTGGCACTGCCAGTGCCCTCATCAGTCTTTCCTGGATTAATGATCAGTCTCCTTTTTGGACTTTATGACTCCAATCCATGTTTGCCAGGTTGCTTGAATGAGTTTCAGAAATCTAAACTTAATCATTTTTCCCTCTCCCTAACGCATTCAATAGTCTTTCACCTACTACAGGATGCAGCCCATTTCCCTAGCACGACATAGGTTCTGTCCATTTTTTTATCCCTACTTTCAGCAGTATGTCTTTTTACTTCATTTGTCTGCAATAGTCAACCATTCCAGATTCCAGGACTTCCATTCACCCTTTCATGCTTGGCACATGTTGTTTTCTCCTCCAAGAATGACATCTTCTTGGCTGAGCAAACTTCTCATCAGTGACCTTAGTCACATATCACCTACTCTATGAAGCTTTTACAAACTTTCCAAGATCCATTCAGGGATGTATTTTTTTTGATGACTCCATTTTTCTTATAAAAACTTTGGTGTGTGTGTGTGGGGGGGGGGGTTGAAGATGGTTTAGTGGTAGAGTGTCTGCCTTGCAGACTTGAGGCAGAGTTTCATCCAGACTTAGCAAACCAAATGTGAGGACATGGTTGAGTACCACCAAGCCCCACAGCAAAGTATGTGACCCCAGGACATTGCAACAATGCAACAGGGAAGTGAAAGTCAATTTTTTTAAAAGTTTCTAGGATAAGGAGGGTTTTAATAGTTGGATTATTAGTTTCTGAAGTGAGTAACTATATACTTTTTCTTTGTATCCCTGGTAAACATACAAGGTATTAAACATTTTTGAAGTGGAACAATAAATAAGGGGACTGAATCTCTGTGAGATAGATATTCAAGGACTTTGTCACTGTTTATGATAATTAACATGTTCCTTTCTGAGAAAATGAGTCTCACAATCATCTATGTGTGAGGAAAGTCAATGCAACTCTAAGAATAACAACAGGCAGAAAATATATGGAAGGAAAATATCTCGTCCTGTTGATTGGTTTTGCTTTGTTTGTCACTGTGTTGACCTTCATCATTACATTTTGCACACCATAAAGGTGGGGCCATTGACTTTCGTCTCGGTTTTCTCTGTACTTGACACCGAGGTGGATTTTAGTAATGTCTGGCAAATAAAAGCACTAATGGGTGAGATTTCTCCATCTATACACCTTTGTTCTGGGACTGCAGTGATTAGAACTACTCAGTGTCTTTCATTAGGAATTCTGGATAACAGAAAAAGGTGAAAAACAAAATGACAGGAGCTGGAGTGATAGCAGAGTGGGTATGGTGTTTGCCTTGCACATGGCCAACCTCTGTTCAATTCCCAGCATCCCATATGGTTCCCTGAGCATCACCAGGAGTAATTCCTGTGTGCATGAGCCAAGAGTAACCCCTGTGCAATGCCAGGTATGACCCAAAAAGCAAAAAAAAAAAAATGACAATAAAGTAAATAAACATCCTTGTAAAAATTAGTCCATGATATAATGGGAGGGGGTTCATCCTAGACCTGTTCTATTTTCCTGAGCAAGGTTCTGTCCTTCCCTGTCCCTCAGTTTCCCACTTATAAGCTAAGTAAGTTAGACTAGTGGCCTTTAGAGCTTTTCAAAGGCACCACTCACTGACTTGCAGCACAAGTTTTGATAATATGAAAACATGAGTCAGAGTTCCAATTGACTTGTCTTGAGAGAGTCAGCCATGCTGGCTCAGTGTGTTCTTTACTTGAGAACCTGTCAGCACTTGAGCACTTCCTGAGAGAGGGGTTAGACACTGAAGAGCATTATTCATTTTAATTGCTGTACTTTGTGTTTTAAGCACCATGCTTTTTACTGTTGCTGGTAGGTTTTTA